AAAACCGGTCTCGCTGAACATAGTGGACAATGAGGACTACTGAGACCTCAAGAACAATGGCAATGGGTTTTTGATCCTACTGTACCTATTGGTTTCGTGGGAGCCTAGGCAGTTTCGTGGAGGCTCACCTTAGTAGACCTGGATGAGGTGGGTGGCCCTTGGACTTCCCACAGGGCAGGGAACCCTGACTGCTCTTTGGGCTGACGATTGGGGGAGGGGGAGGGAAAGGGGAGGCGGCGGTGGGGAAGAGACAGAAATCTTTAATAAATAAATAAATAAATAAATAAAAATTAAAAAAAAAGAAAAAGAAAATGTGGATTTCAGCTTCTTTCTGGTAGTTCTTTAAAATATCTGTATTCTTTGTTTTGTATAGAAACTTAAAAATATTTAATGTGGTTAAATCTATTAATTTAAAATTTTAAAATATGGCTAGAATCCAGTTACTAATAGTTTTTTATATTTATTATGTGTGTATGTATATATGTGTGAGTGTGTATGCATGTATACATGTATGTGAGCAAGTACATGCCCCAGCATCCACATGGAGGTGAGAGGACAACTTAGCAGGAGTTAGTTCTCTCTTTCCATCCACCATGTGGGTCCTGGAGATTGAACTCAGGTCATCAAATTTGGCAGCAAAGTACCTTTCTTTACCTGCTGAGCTGCCTTATCAGCCCTGCTGGAGACAGGATTTCATGTAACCAGGCTGGCTTTGAATTCTGAGAATACCTGAGAATTTCTTTGAATTTCTCACCCACTTGCCTCCACCTCCTGAGTGCTGGAATTGCAGGTGTGTGTCATCATAATCAGTGTTTTGTTTTGTTTGTTTTTCTCAGACAGGGTCTCTCTGTGTAACAGTCCTGGCTGACAAGAGAAATTAATGTAAAGAATGCAACTGGTTGGATTTGTATCTGTGTGCATGTGTGCATGCGTGGTGTGTGCACACACGGGTGAAGGACAGAGGTGCTGGTATAAGTCCTCCTCAGTTGATCTCTATTTTTTTTTTGAGACAAAGTCTCTCACAGCCCTGGAGCTCACTGGTGAGTCTGGCAAGCAAATCCCAGGATCTTCCTAGCTCTACCTTCCCAGTGCTGGAATTATAAATGTGCACAACTTTTACGCGGTTGCTGGGAATTGAACTCGGGTCCTCATGCTTGTGTTTCAAATATTTTACTCACTGAGTATTCTCCTCTGCCTCATTTTGTATTGTTTTTGGAGACTGGTTCTGGAGTTGTGGCATCTTCTTGCTTCAGCCTTCTGAGTGCTGTATGCTGCCACACCTAGTGATATTTTCTAAATAAAATTAGGGTGGGCATGGCGGCACATGGCTTTAATCTTACCGGGCAGGTGTCTGTGAGTTTGAGGCCAATCTGGTCTAAGTAGCAGCAAGTTCTAGGGCTTCAAGAACAAACAGTAGATTTCATGACTAGGTTTGAAGGTGGATTACTAATTTGTTTCTGTCACAGACAGAGGTTCATGTAGAAGAGCCATGCTTCCATGTTGTCTGATACTGACAAGGCTTTGCCACACTGTGGCACACCACTGATTTTATTTTTTTTTTCCGGTATTTACTTTGGACCCAGACCAGCCATCTAGCTATGACGGCATTCTTCAAAAGCGTCCTACGTTTTGTGCCAGATGACTTTCAATGGTTGGTTATTTGGAAATGCTCCTTTTGAGGCTGCATCCTTGCTTCTCAACCCAAAGAAGAGTAAGGGAAATGCGAGCATTTTCTATTTATTAATAACCCACTTTTTCCCATTTTCTAAAAGCATGTCAATCATGACACCAAGACTTATCCTTATTTTATTATTTTTATTTTATTGGTATTATTAATATTTTGTTTAAATTTAATTCTTTATTTTGTCTTCTGAGATAGAGTTTGTGTGTGTGTGTGTGTGTGGCCCTGTCTGTCCTGGAGCTCTCTATGTATACCAGGCTGATCTGGAACTCAAAAAAATCTGTCTCAAATATGAATAGAGAGTCTGGAAATGTTTTTATATCGGTTTCTGAGTAAATATGATTCTCATTGTCTTGGGGTATCCAGATACAACAAGGGGTGTTGTTGAGACATGTATGTCAGTGTGTGAGTATGTGCATGTGTAACACGTGTGGAGGCCAGAAGAAGGTGACAGGAGCTGTCACGCTCTGCCTGTCCTTTAGAGGCAAAATCTGTCCTAAATCTGGGGTTCGTGTTTTCCTGGCTGGGCTGGCAGCTACAAGCTTCAGAGATCCTCCTATCTGAGCTTTCTGTGGAGCCGAGATTATATGTATGGGCCAGAAACCAGGATTGATATGTACACAGGGAACCTGACTTGGGTCCTGTGGAAGAGCTGCAAGTGCTCTTATCTGTCAAGGTGTCTGTCTATCTCCCCTTCCAACCTTTAAACTTGTCTATTCTAGTAAATGTGTTTGATAATTTAATCATAGCTTTAATTTTCATTTCTGTGATGGATGTTGAATATCTTCTTATTGTATTAGTATTATTACTTTGGTCTTTTTGTGACAAGGTTTCTCTGTTATGTAGCAATGGTTGCCTTGAACTCACTGAAGTGATTTTTATTTTACATAAGCAGAAAAATTTTCAAATTTAGGGAAATTGACACTACCAGGTATCGTGTTAAGCACTTAACAGAGTGACCCTAGGAGGGAGGTGCTAGGTTTGATTATCTGTTCATTTCCAGGTAAGCAATTGAGGGTCTCAGGTAAGTTGCTTGCTCCAGGCCACCTGGCTAGTGAGTGGCAGGGTAGTGAGCTCTAATGTGGGGCCTGTGACTCAGTCTGTGTTTTGCATCACCAAGTTATGCTCTTTACTGAGGACAGATTTCAGCTTGAGCAATATTGGTTTTGCCTTTATTGCTACTTCTGTGTATAGTATTTGTCTAGGGATGGGCTGGGAGCCTTGGTGGACGATTCGCTAATTGGGATCTGTGATTTGTCTATTTTCTTTCCTGTGGTTCTGGGGTTTATTCTAGGACTTTATTAATGGTATGGCAAACACCTACCACTGAGGTTAAATCCAGCCCTCTTATTACCTAAAACTTTTATTTAAATTCATGCACAGACACAGAAAAAAAATAAATCTAGAAAACAAGTAAGGACTGGAGAGATGGCTCTTGAGTTGTAAGCCAGACTCTGTCTCAGAAACCCAAAAACTGGGGCTGAGAAATGTATAGGTGGTTAAGAGCATTTTTCTGCTCTTACTGAAGACCTGAGTCTTTAAGTTACACCCGTTCTTTTCTCATGTTTAGGATTTTTGTCCCTGAGTCATGGAAGACAGAAGAGCCGAAAAGTCATGTGAAGAAGCATGTGAGTCACTGAAGAGGCAGGACTATGACATGGCCCTCCAGCACTGCACAGAGGCCCTGCTTTCTCTTGGCCAGTACTCCATGGCAGACTTCGCAGGGCCATGTCCCTTGGAGATAGAGCGCATCAAAATCGAGAGTCTTCTTTACAGAATTGCCTCATTCTTGCAACTGGTGAGTGCTGTTGGTATACTATGGAGAGCTGTTATGTACCAGTGCAGACCACATGTTGGCTACTACTGTACACACAGCTGATTTGGGGCTGAACAGATAAAAGAGTACCTGGTGACTGCTGGATATTCCCAATGGCAAACAACTGTTTTTAAAATTGTGTTATGGCGCTCACTCATTTAACACATGTTTATTGAGTACATGCTATCTGATAGAGAGAGCCCTTCATCCTCTTAGTGTCTAGTAGAGGCCTAGATAGAACATCGGCCATTGTAGACAGCTCCACACTAGGGACAGCGTGCTGAAAGGAGCAGTGCTCGGGAGCCAGGGAGCAGCAGTGCTCGGGAGCCAGGGAGCAGCAGTGCAGGAGGTGGGGTTACCCAGGCCGGTCGAGGTGATGGGTGAGCCATGTGGAAATCTGGAGGAAAGGGACCCTGAGGCAGAATCCCAGCTGAATTGAGTATTAGTTGGCAAGTGTGACTGGGGTAGGATGCATGAAGGTGAGGAGGAAAAGGCTAGGGCCAGTGGAGTCTTGTGGGGCTTTCTGAGCCTCTCAAAGTGAGCTGGGGAGCTGCAGCTGCAGTTGGAGCGGAGCAGTGATGGGATTTGGTTCAGCAGGAACTAGGCTGTGTTCAGAAGAGATTAGTAGAGTGGCAGGGGTGGTGGCACACCTTCAGTCTCAGCCCTAGGCAGAAGCAGGAGACCGCCTGCTCTACAGAGGGAGTTCCAGGACAGCTAGGCTGTGTAGAGAGACCGTGTCTCAAAAAAAGAAAAGACAATAGACTCAATGTTAGTTTGTATAGACAACGATGCAGCCTGTGCTGTGTAGAAGCCCAAAGCAGGAGCAGCTACCCTGGCACTCTGAGTGCAGGGAATTTGGGAGCTCTTTCATGTCATTTACCCTGACTTTTTTTGACTGAGCCCTTAGAAAAATGGGGTTTCCTTCAGCTGGGATGACAAGGTCGTATGTAGGGAGCAGGTTTATGAGCTTAGTTTTGGGCCTTGTGAGTTTGAGGTGTCATCTGGCTGGAGATGAAGAGAGAGTACAAGAGTGGACTGTGCAAGAGAGGGGTTAAAGAGATTATGGGGTACCGTGTTAGATCACATCCAGGGTTTGGTGCAGGTCACCAGGGAAGGGACTAAGGACCTGGGATGATGGGTGTCAAGAGGGTGTGGAGAAGGAACACGCAGAGCATCTGAGGAATAGCTGGGAGTAGAAGGGAAAGGTGAGAGTCATAGTCTGTGCATTTCTAGGTAGAGAAAATGTGATATCAGTGTGTCTAATAAATGGCACAAGTCAGTGAACTGTGGCTTGTCTGGATGTAGTGGAGATCACTGGTGGCCGTTATGTGAGTAGGTTCCTTACATCAGTGGATGGCTGCCTGACTTAAAAAGAACCTGGGAGAATTGGGGAGAAATTCTTCCTATGTTTTTATTCCTTTGGACAGCCCCACTGTGTAGCCTGGGCTGGCCCGAGCTTCCCTGTGTGGAGCAGGCTGGCCTCCAACTTGTGATCCTCCTGCTTCTTCTGCCTCTTGGATGAGGGTTTACAAGTGTGCAGAGAAGTTCTACCACAAGGAGGCACCAAAGATGAAAAGGAGTCAGTGGAAGAAGCAAAATCATAAGCGGGGGGCTCCCCCAAAGACAGGGTTTGTCTGTGTAGCCTTACACACCTTGGGACTTGCTCTGTAGACCCCACTGGCCTCTGCCTTGTGAGTGCTGGGACTAAAGGTGTGCACCACCATCCCTGACTCAGTCAGAATGTTTTTTAAGTTGGGAAAAATAACAGCATGTTTGTTTAGGAAAGAATCAGTGGAAAGGAAACTGTCAAAAGGTGTGGGAGCATAGAAGCTTGGGGGGTGGTGTCTTCAAGGTCAGCTTTAGAATGGGATAGTGTCTCTGGGAACAGGTGTGAGAAGGGTGCTGGGAAGGAGGATGACATGGCTGTGGCAATGGGAACTCTAGTCAGGCCTTTGGCGGAGGAGGAGGTGGTGCAGGAGGAGGTTGTGGTTGGCTAAGGTGCTGAAGTGAGCCGGCTGTCAGAGTGGTTGGAGGGGAGTACAGTGGGTGCTTGGTTCTTGTGTGGAGGAGGTAACCCCGGGAGATCTTGGGAGTGCGCTCTCCCTGTACGTGGTAGACTGATAGTATTCGTGACTCCTCAAAGACAGCTGAGCTCTGTGCTGACGGTTTTAATCATAGCCTTTCAAGTATGCCATTTTACCTTGTATCTTTCCTTTTCTTTTTGTAGAAAAACTACGGGCAAGCTGATGAAGATTGTAGGCATGGTATGTGTAAAAGACGGGCCCTTTTCTGATCTGATGATTTTTAAAATTATTTAATTGAAATTTTTAAAAATTTTGCCAATTTCAAAAGCAATTATAATGTTAACAATCCTATCTTACTGTGGTGCCTAGTGACAGATTGGGTTGATGTCTTTCCTGCTGTGACAGGCATACCAGGTGAGCATGTGGGCGTGAGTGTTGGCATTCTTGTCCGCATGTGCCCCTTCACCCTCCCTCCCTCAAGGAGCATTGACAGTGAGCCTTTTAAAAGTCTGGATAAATAGGTATAGTCTAAAAATGCCACGCTTAAGAAGTGCAGCACATGCTGATTAAACTGCCAAGCTTTGAATGTTGAAAATATCTGTCTTTTTTTTAAACAAGTCAGAGTGTTCTTAGGAGTTGGCTGGAGTGCTCTGAAATGCTCTTTCCTGTTTTCTTGTGGCCGGAAGTTGAGACCAGTAAGATCCACATTCTCTGAGTGTTCATGTTGTAGAAATCCCTTTCTTGGCCCTTGATGCATCTCAGTAGAAAGAGCCTGTGGTGGAGGGTCAGGGTGCCTTCCCACGCCCTCTTGCTGGGCTATTTTGCACAGCTCAGTGGCCTGGATAATATAAATTATGTTTCATTTTTCCATAACTGGGGCTTGAGGTTGAGTTGTTTGACATGTTAATTTTTATTTTTTGCTTCCTCACTCCTTTGTGTCAAAATGTTAAAAAAGAATTAAGTATTTTTATTTTACATGTTACCAAACCATGCTACATACTCTTGTTGTACATGGACCACACTTTAGACATTACTCATTAATGACCAGTGACCTTTCTGTGAACCTGCAGTGGAACTGTAGTGGCGTAGGATTTAAATTAGAATTAGAGATATCCTTGTCATCTTTAAACAGTTCAAAAGACAGAATACAGATATAATGGTAGATAATGCAGAGGAATGTGACGGGCTCCTTTTTCTCTCCTGGAGAAGTGGTGGCCTGTTGAACTTACCTTTTACTACACTGAGAAACACAGATGCTTATCATACATAAATTGTTTATTTTTTTCCTTTAACAAATAATTTTAAAGGGGGCCTTGTGAAATGGCTTAGTGGGTAAGAGAACACTTGTTGGTTTTTGCAGAAGATCCAGGTTTGACTCCCAGCACCCACACAGTGGCTCACTAACTTCTTTAGCTCTTGTCCTAGGGGATCCAACACTTTTCTGACCTCTGTGGCCACCAGGCACAAAATATGGTGCACATATGTACATGTAGGCAAAATACTCAATATACATAAAATAAAATTATAAAATCCTAAAAGCAAACAAGAAAGAATTTGAACATACTTGTCATAAAGTTGCTTTTCTGCCACCATAGCATGACAGGTGTCCCTTGTGTGGATGACACAGTCAAGTTATTTCCCGAACTGATGAGGCTCCAGCAGGTTCTGGTTCATTCTTTGACAGTATAATCCACCTGATAATAGACATTCTTGCTAATTGTTGCCTTTCTTTCATGCCGTGAGAGTTGGCTTCCTGGGTTAAGGATTATGGGAACTTGTGATTTTGTTTTTCAGTTTTAATTTATTTTTATGTGCATTGACATTTTATCTGTGTAAAGGTATCTGGTCTCCTGGAACTGGAGTTACAGATAGTTGTGAACTGCCATGTAGGTGCAAGAAACTGAAAGCAGATCTTCTGGAAGAGCAGCCATTGCTCTTAACCACTGAGCCTTCTCCTCAACCCTGAACTTGCGATTTATTTATTTATTTATTTATTTATTTATTTATTTATTTGATTTCTCGAGACAGGGTTTCTCTGTAGCTTTTTGGTTCCTGTCCCGGAACTAGCTCTTATAGCCCAGGCTGGCCTCGAACTCACAGAGATCCGCCTGCCTCTGCCTCCCAAGTGCTGGGATTAAAGGCGTGCGCCACCACCGCCCAGCTGAACTTGTGATTTTTATAGACACCGTCTGGTTATAGTTTGAAATGTACTTACCCTCTGCAATGTGTGCAAATGTTTCCTATATTTTCACCATGCCAAAACCCAGCAGTTTTAAAACTTTCCCCACCCATCTCATGTGTAAGAAATAGTTCCATATATTTAGTTTTGTTTTTCCTGAGTTCTTGGGAAGTTAAAATACAGTCTTCCCATTTGAGAAATGTACAAAGACCCCAGAAGATTACATGACTTGTGGGAAGTCATGGAAAAGTAAACGTTGGGGAGGGGAAATTTTCATTTTTCTGTTAAAAAGAGATGAATTCAATAGCCAGGCGTAGTGGTGCACACCTTTAGTCCCAGCATTCAGGAGGCAGAGATAGGCCTCTGAGTTTCAGGCTAGCCAGAGCTACATAGTGAGACCTTTTCTCCAAACAAACAGGCAAACAAAGCCCAGATTAAAAACTTGTGTTAATTAATAAACGTTTAGCTGTTGGGAAGATGAAGTTGGCATGACACATGATGTGTGTGTGCTTTGGTGTCAGTAGCCAAATAGAGTGCAGGTTGAGATTCATTCTGACCTTTGATCCTCTGATTTCATTTCTGGGACTCTGTCCCAAGTAAATATTACAACAAAGGAGAAAATTGTCCACACTGTTGTGGACTGTGATGCTGTGTGTAAAGTGAGAAGAGGTTGGCTTTCAGGGAGGTAGGGCTTCATTAATTATAGTCTCTGAGCTGGGCGGTGGTGGTGCACGCCTTTAATCCCAGCACTCGGGAGGCAGAGGCAGGTGGATCTCTGTGAGTTCGAGGCCAGCCTGGTCTACAAGAGCTAGTTCCAGGACAGGAACCAAAAGCTATGGAGAAACCCTGTCTCGAAATAAAAAAAAAAAAAAAGACTACAACTATCTANTCTCTGTGTTCTCTACTCTTTTTAGGTGACATGAAACAGCTTGGAAGTGGCCCTTTTGTTTTTTTCCTCTGAGACAGGGTTTCTCAGTGTAGCCCTGGCTGTCCTGGAGTTATCTTTGCAGACCAGGCTAGCCTTGACCTCAGAGATCTGCCTGCCTTTGCCTCCTGAGAGCTAGAATTAAAGGTGTGCTGTAGATGAGGCGAGCAGGCCTGCTTTTCGTCCTGCCCGGCTCCCACATGGTTAGCTTTACACCCAAAATAACAACACACAAATTATATTCTTTTAAACACTGCTTGGCTCATTAGCTCTAGCCTCTTACTGGCCAACTCTCACATCTTGATTTACCCATTTCTATTAATCTGTGTAGCACCACGAGGTGGTGGCTTATCGGGAAAGATTCAGCATGTCTGACCTGGCGGCTGGCTCCATTGCTTCTGCCTCACTTCCCTTCTTCCCAGTATTCTGTTCTGTTTACTCTGCCTACCTAATTTTCTGTCCTATCAAAAGGCCAAGGCAGTTTCTTTATTAACCAATGAAAGTAACACATAGACAGATGACCCTCCTCCATCAGCGTGCACATTGGAAGCGGTCTTTTTGTGTGAGCATGTGCATGGAGACAAGAGGTTGACGTTTGATGTCTTCTCTGTTTTTCTCCAACTGTTCTTCTTTTGGGGACATGGTATTTTTATTAAATCTGGAACTCATTGATTGGCAAGGCTGGTGGCCAACAGGTCCCCCAAATCTACTGCCTGTACTTCCCTGTCTCCCTAGCATTGGGGTTACAGATGTGCATTGCTGTGTCCAGCTTTTACATGTGTGTTGGGGATCTAAACTCAGGTCCTCATGCTTGTGTAGCAAACACCTTACCCACTGAGCCATCTTCCTAGCCCCTATTTATAAAATTTGTATAAAAACGCCTTTACAAAGTTGATAATTTTATAGATATTAGAAAATATTGGCTAAGATTACTCGAGTACTGTGGAATTCCGTTCTTTTTTTTTTTCCCCTGAGATAAGGTTTTTTTTGTAGTTTTAGAGCCTGTCCTGGAACTAGCTCTTGTAGACCAGGCTGGCCTTGAACTCACAAAGATCCGCTTGCCTCTGCCTCCTGAGTGCTGACTGTGGAATTCTGACTATATATGTCCGATTCTCAGTAATGTTGTTGTGTAAGATAAGTAAGTATGGCTAGATAGTCAGGTAACTAACATGCAGGAGGAATTTCTTGCTGGGGTCCTGTTAACCTGTTATCCTGCATAGTTATACCGAGATGCTCTGAGGCTAGGCCTAGAGAGCTCCATCGGAAGTGCCTTTTATCAATGCCTTTCTGTTTGCCTTTTACATAGTGTAATGCTCATTCTTCTATTGGTAGACCAGTTTGCATTTTGATTTTGGTAATTTGTGTGTATATATGTGTGTCATTTTTAAAATGAACAATTAGCCAAAGTACTTTGAATTTGATACCTTACATTGTATTGATTACCATTGCCAACAGTTACTGCAGCCAACATGTGACAGTGACCTTCAAATTTAATTCCTACTTTCTTGAAACATCACAGAATATCACTGAATCTAAATCTAAAAGCATCTATTTATCTACCCATCTATATCGATCTGTCTGCCTATCTATCTATCTATCTATCTATCTATCTATCTATCTATCTATCTATCTATCTTTGTGACATCCTCTGTCTGGCCTAGAATTTTCTATGTAGACCAGACTGGCCTGGAGCTCACAGAGATACAAGTGCTGGAATTAAGTGTGAGCCACCACCATGTCTAGCCCTTCTTAAATAATTCAAGTGTGAGTGTGATACACACACACACACACACACACACACACACACACACACACATCTAGGAAGTTTGCAGCCATCAACAGTTCTTGTGCAATTTCAGGAGCAATTGGGAATATGGTAATTTCTGAAGTTGTTAGTGTAGTGGATCATGTAGGTAAAATACATGCATACTTTCCATAGCATATTTGGAAGGATCTCTCTAAAATTGGCCTCATTTTATTCTCTGCAAACTGACCTGGCCCACTTAGCATAGCCTTTATTGCTGATGTTTGCACATGTTCTCTTTTTAGAATTGATTCATGACCATCCGAAGATATTAATTTGACATAAAAGGCATCAGGACCTTTACAATTACCATGGATTTTCTCCTCTCTGTCTGTAGGTTCTTATAAAA